TAACTGGAGTTTTTTTATCCAGACCACTATTTGTTCAGTGTTGGTTTTGGGGATCTTTCTGAAACAAATCACATCCTCTGGTGTCTTGCTGGTGCTTGAGATGTTTTATTAAGTTATATGGAAAAATGTTGAAGTGCTTGTCAGTTTTGTTTTGGTTGAGTTCTACTGTATTTGAATATTATCATAGGTTTTTTCCCCTTGCATTGTTCTTCTTTGAATGGTTTTAATTTTTTGTATGTGTGTGTTTGATAATAAAGTTATTTAAAATTTAAAAACCGCAGGCTAAACTTGTTTGGCGGGCATATCACAAGGATCAATCACACCAGCTTTTGAAGCGCATGTGACTCTTTCTGTAAACGAAATGCTTCAACTCCACTGCATTTCTCTTTTTCTTTATTAACTTTTAAGATCTGAAAAATGCAACATAAAAATATATCCCAGACCATGCATACTCTGAGGAACCTGGCAAGGACAAAACCAAAACTACTGTGTAGAACAATGTGCCTCGGTCCTGTCTGCAGATGCAAAGAGCCACCAACGCTGAGGTCACTCACAGCTGCCACTCGGCCCCTGGCTCGGCAGGCGCTGGGAGTGGGGTCTCAGTCTCCAGGGCCATGAAGGGGAGACTGACTTAATGAGGCAGAGGCAGACTATTCGAGATGCAAGAGAGAAGCCAGGCGTGATGGTGCACACTTATCCCAGCAACATGGGAGGCTGAGGCAGAAGGATCACACACTGGAACCCAGCCCCAGCAACTTAGCTACTTAGAGACACCCAGACTCAAAATTAAAATGAAAAGACCTGGGGATGCAGCTCAGTGTGAAGGGCTCTGGGTTCAACCCCCAGTAGCACAAAAAGAAAGAGCAAAGAGAGATCGGAAGCTCCTGATGTATACTCATGACTTCCAAGAGCACACAACGAAATTAACTCTGTGGTCCCTAAAATAAAAGTTAAATTCCAACCACCCGAGGGACCCAACTGTCCTTTTCTTTCTCGAGTTAAAGCTCACCTTGGGCAGAGGTTTCTGGAAGGCTTGCATGGCCAGGAGCAGAGGGGCTGCGGTAGTCCAGTTATAATACCTGACAAAACAGAGGGGTGGCAGTCACTCGGGGACCAGGCTCAAGGTCACGCAGAGCTGAGGGTCCCGGCGAGGCCCTTGCAGAGCTGCTGTGCTGCTCCTGCTGGGCTCCCTGCAGCCTCTGCCCAGGAGGAGCTCCCTTCCCCCCCCCAAAGCCAGCAGCAGCACAGGCAGAGGATGGAGGGGGACAGGGGCTTTAGCTGCACTGTCCTGGCTGCCTTGATGTCCTGAATGGATCAAATCATCTCCCTTTCACGGTCACTGTGACTTTAGGGAAGAGCCGGAAGTCACACAGTGCCAGATCCGGTGACTAAGGTGGACGAGGGCACAGCATCGTGTGTTTATGAGCTGCCTGTCCGTGGGATGGCGCTCGGCAGCAGCAGTCACTGTATTTGTGACCACACCTGGTAAAGTCCCTCAGGAAAGAGGACTCCAGAGCGGCTGCAAGAAGTGGCGAGGACGGTGGGATGTGCACATTCAAAGCAAGGGGAAGATTTTGAGGGATTCATGGCAGTGTGCTTTTTGCTGTAACACATTTGTTAAAATTTAAACATCTACAATAAAACCCAAAAGGTATGATGGCAGTGCCAAAAGGGCAGGTACTCACTTATTCCCAATCTTCACCACAAGATTGGGGTCATCGATGAGCCCAGGGTTGTCCACAAATTGTTGATAGGACACAGCTTGCTCTAAAAATGCATCTGCAAAGCAGTTGGAAGGGGTAAAGGAAAATGGACAGGAAATTTGGTTTTAAAAGCAGGCTATGTGTCACTTTCTCATTCACAAGTATTTTCTGAGAGCTTACTCCATTGTGCAAGTGATCCGATAAACTATATCTGTAAGGGGGAGTTTGCTTTGCTCAGGGGTCAGCGTCATGGGGGGCTCACACATGACATCCCAGCACTCCGGAGGATCGCTGGGAGTTCGAGGCCAGCCTGAACTGCATAGTGAGAGCTTCTCTCAGAAAACAAAAAAGCTTGTAAAAGACCTCTGAGGTCAGCTAACCGCCAGCCACGAACGTGGGAGCGCAAGCTCCCCACGCCCGAGAAAGCTGTGAGGTCACAGCAGCCTGCGCGCCCGGCTTCCCACCGGCAGCCACTAGGGGGCGGGGCGGTGACCTTTGGTGACGTCCCGGTGGCCGCTGAGACCCCCGCACAGGGAGATGGCAATGGACGGCGGGTCCCGCAGGCCGTCCGTGGTGCTCTCCATGCCGCTGTCCGCACCCGAGCTGCCCACCGACTGCGGGGACGGGTTGGCCCAGCGGGGTCCCAGGTCACTGGTGTGCTTCGGGAGCCCCGAGGGGTCTCCACTGTGGAGGAAGAGAAGCTGTCTGAGGACTCTGCCCCTCCTCTCCGGTCCTGGGAGGCCCTCTAAACAAGAGGTGCTGGCACCTGCTGTCATCCAGCAGTCTAGGAGACTGAGGCAGGAGGATTCCAAGTCTGAGCCCAGCCTGGGCAACTTAGCAAGACCCTGGCTCAAAAATAAAAAATAGAGCCAGGCTTGGTGGTGCACCCCTGTAATCCCAGCGCTCAGGAAGGCTGAGGCAGGAGGATCACTGTGAGTTCGAGGCCAGCCTGGGCTACAAACCAAGACCCTGTCTCAAAAAATAAATGAGTAAATAAATAAATAAATAAATAAACAAACAAACAGAAAGGGACTGGGCTGGAACTTGGGATCCTCCTGCCTCAGCCTCCCAAGTGCAAGGACCACAGGTGTTGGTCAGGGATTTAGCTCAGTGGTGCCACCACCTGCCTCAAAAGTGCAAGTTGGATCCCGGGTACCAAAAAAAAAAAGACATGGTAAAGAAACAAAAAGGATAACAGGCGTGCACACCACACCTCCCCCACTTCCTAATCAAACACCAGGGAAAACCAGACCCATGCGGACTAATGCTTGGGGTATAGAAAATGCTATGAAGGAAGGAAATTTTACTTTCTGGGAAAGTACAAGGCAGCCACTTCAGGGTCCATGTCTGTGAGTTCGTCCAGGTAGACCCCATCGGCGCCCAGATGTCTGCTCCGCTTATCTGAAAGGGTAAAGGGATCCAGTCACAGAGCTCTCCCAGCAGGAAGTGATGGTGCAGCCCAGCACTCAGGAGGCTGAGGCAGGAGGATCACAAGTTCCAAGTTCGAGCCCAGCCTGGTAACTTAGCAACTTAGCGAGACCCTGTTTCTCAATGAAAATGGGCTGGGGATGTAGCTCAGTGCAAAGGCCCTGGGTTTGGTCCTCAGTGCTGCAAAAAAAAAAAACAAAAAAACAAAAAACCTGCACAGAGCAAGGTCCACAATTGAGCTTAACATCATCACTAGGGACAGGCAAACAGGTGTGCACTCAGATTCAGGACTTGCAGATGACCAACAAAAAAGTCTGTGCAACAATTTCAGAATCCAGCAAACCCTGGAGTCCGAAACACTTCTGGTCCCCAGCTCTTGGGATAAGGGACTCTCAACCTGGGTGCTCAGTATGACCATTAACCCTGGCTGTCGACTGGGTTAGAAACTCCTGGCAGATTAGGAAAGCTCCTTTCTGGGTGTGTCTGGGTGATGTGGAGTTGTGCCCTTAGGTACTGTACTTAGTTCCTTCCACTTCCTCTCTGGCTTCCCCTTCTCTGCTCCCCCACGCCCTTCCGCCATGATGCTCCCGCCTGGAGCAGCCGACCATGGACTGCATCCCCTGAGACCATGAGGCGGATCCATCCTCTCCTCCCCTCAGCTGTGGGAGTCAGGTGTCTCTCATCCCAGCCCAGGAAAGCAGACGGACACACTCATCAGAGGAGCACTGATGAAACAATCCATGTCATGGCTCACTGCCAGCCTTGGCAGAGCTGGATCCGGGCTAGGACACAGGCACCGTGTAGGACAGCGCCCGGTCTGCCCAGCCTCCCACCTTTCCTCTGGGGAGAGTCGGTCTTGCTCGCCATCTGAGCCCCGCTGGCAGCGGGGGGCTTGGGCTCCTCGGTCACCAGCACAGGTGGAGCGGCTGCTCCCAGGCCCTCGAGGTCCTCCTCAGCCACCAGCTGCATCTCCGCCTGCGGCTGGCTCTGGTCCAGCACTGGTGACGGGTCACTGCAGGTATCCGAGGACTCGCTGTGGATGGCCTGGAAGTGGGTTTCGTCACAGATCTTCCTGCTGCTCAGGGGGCTGGGCTCCTTCATCTTGTGCGGAGAGGATGACTAGAGCAAAGAGAGGGAGAAAGAAAAAGACCAGAGGAAAGGTCAGGACACAGGCAAAAAGACAAACTGAGTCACCAGAGGAGAAAAACTAGTCACTTAGTAACGTTCTGTGGCAAAGGCTTTTTTCCATTTTTTTCTTTTCAGTACAGCCCTTTTTAATTTTTTGTTGGTTTGTTTGATTGGGTTTTTTTGAGACAGGGTCTCGCTAAGTTGCTAAGTTTCCCAAGCTGTGCTTAAACTTGCGCGCTCTTCCTGCCTCAGCCTCCCAGAGTGAGTCTGGTAAAACTAATCTCTGCTGCTAGGAGGCAAGGTCATGTTCACCCTGCGGGGAGGCGGTCCGTGGGAGCAGCGGCTACAAAGACGGGATCCCCACACTACCAGCTGGGTGGCGCCTTTCTATCTAGTTATCCTGTGTGTCTAAAATACATCAATCAGGGCCCAGGATTTAGCTCAGTGGTTTCACCGCCTGCTGCGCAAGTGCAAGGACTCGAGTTCAATCCCCGGTACCAAATAAATAAATAAATAAAATAAAATACATCAACCAGGCAAGGTGGCGCACACCTATAATCCCAGCACTCAGAGGCTGAGACAGGAGGATCTCCACAGGTTCAAGGCCAGCCTGAACTACATAGCGAGACCCCATCTCTAAAATATAATATAATATAATATAAACACATTGAGTCCTCTTGTGAGGCAAATGCACAGCTCCATGTCTCCCTCAAGCTCCTGGTTTTCAGGCCCCTGGCTGAGACCGACAGGAACCCCGTGGCACTGAAGCGGCACCCGAAGACCCCGGGGCACAGCAGGCCAGCCGGGCTCACCTTGGCGGCCTGCGGCAGCTCTCCCCACAGCCAGAGCATCTCCAGGTTGCTCTTGGGGACCGCGCGGTCGCTGGGCTTGCTCACCAGCTCCGAGTCGCTCTTCGGGGTGGCAGGCCGGGAGCCTGAGGGACTGAAGCAAACACAAACCATCACTCAGGAGAGAGGGAAACTCGGGCTCCTGGCCCAGGCCTGCGGTTCAAATGCGAAGCCCACAAAGGGCCTCATGGCGATCCCGCCTGTGGCCACCAGGGGTCGCCGCACCCGCGTCCAGGAGAAAGGCGCGGAACTCCAGGGAGAGGACCAGGAAAACAGTTGGCAGGAAGAAAGCCTGGGAGGAAATGCAAAGAGGAAGGAGGAGGCGTTTGTTCTAACATCACAGTCCCCGTCCTTCCGCACCTCACCCTGAGCTCAGCCCTCCTGAAGTCTCAAATCAGGTGTCAGGGCCTGGGATTTAGCTCCGCGGCGCCGCGCCTGCCTCGAAAGCACAAGGTCCCGAGTTCCATCCCGGTACCAAAAAACAAAAATCAAATCAGGCGTCACGGCTCGGGGACAGGTGCCAAAGGACCCTGGGCAGCCCTGGTTTTCTGTTAAAAACACTCGCAGGCCAGGAGCGGGGGTGCATCCCACCACTCAGGAGGCTGAGGCAGGAGGGTCCACAGCGAGTTCGAGGCCAGCCTGGGCTCCACAGTGAGACCAAAATAAACGAACAAATAAATGCTCACAGGTCTGCACCGGCTTTGGAAACAGAGAAACTGTCACCGACTGACTCTGCCACCAGGAAACTTGCTAAGGTGCTGAGGTTCCTCGGTACCAACTGATGACGCGTTTCTCTGGAAGGCAAGCCCGGAGGAGGTGCAGCATCCTCTCACCGCCATGTCCCCTGTAATTCTACTCCAATTGCTTTTCTTTATATACAGTACTGGGGACTGAACCCAGTTCCTTTGCTCTGAACTACATCCCCACCCTTTTTTATTTTTATTTCTAAACAGGGTCTCCCTAAGGTGCTACATTTCTCAAACTGGACTCAAACTTGCAATCCTCCTGGCTCAGCCTCCTAGAGTGCTAGGATTACTGGTGCGCACCACCACACTTGGCTTATATTTCTACTTCTGAGACCTAAACAATGTCTCACTTCTGCCAGGCCAAAGTCACTGTCCGAAAGAATCAACATTATAGCTGGGCGTAGGGACACATGCCTGTGATCCCGGCACTCAGGAGGCTGAGGCAGGAGGATCACCATGAGTTCGAGGCCAGCCTGGGCTATGTAACGAGACCCTGCCTCAAAAAAATGAAATCAACTTCACATACAAGATTCGAACACCACGCTAAATAACATAGAGCTGGGAAGAAAATGCCCTTTCTTTCTTTCTTGTCTTTATTCTCTCACATCATTTCCTCTACAGGAAGACACCACAGCAGAGTTTTCCACAGAACAGTAAATGCAGACCACAATTTTTGTTTCCATCTTTCAGACTTTGTCCATTGTCTAAGCAACTGCTCTTTGATGGGTTTGGTCTGATTTATCACTGCCCAAGGTACATCACGTGCATCCATTGAAGAGGCTCACAGGCCCTAACTGGACATGGTGAGACATGCCTGTAATCCCAGCGTCCAGGAGGCTGAGGCAGGAGGACTGCCCAGAGTTCAAGCCCAGGCCAGCTTAGGCTACATAGTAAGTTGAAGGCTGGCCTGGACTCAGAAAGACCTGACGAAAGAGAGAGAGAGAGAGACAGAGAGAGAGAGGGGAAGGGGGGAAAGAAAGAAAGAGAGGGAGAGAAAGAGAGAGAGAGAAAGAGGGCTTTCCGAATTTCTGGCAGTCTCAGTTAAGCAAATTAATTATAACTCTGCATCGTCACTCTTTGTAACCTCATTTTCCTCATTTTAAAATGATCTTTCTTCCTCATATATAACATCTTAATGAGGGACATCCTGAAGTTTGGGGTTTTTTGTTTGGCTAGTTGGTTTTTTGGTTGGGGTTTGTTTGGCATTTTATTTTTGTTTTTGTTTTTGTTTGGGTTCAGCAGTGGGGATTGAACCCAAGGCTGCTCTATGACTGTGCAACAGTCCCAGCCCTTTTCAATTTTTTTTATTTGGAAAGAGTCTCATTAAATGTCAGACAGGACTCAAACTTGTAACCCTCCTGCCTCAGCCCTTCTCAGTGCTGAGTTTATGCTTGGGCCACTGCATCCAACTTGGTTTGGTTCTTTAATCAAAAAGAAAAATTTTCCCGGTACCAAAAAAAAGACAAAGAAAATTTTTCCAGGTAAAAACTAATCATAGCTTCATTTGGTAAGGTTGATAAAGTAAACCACGTGAGGCTACAAAGCAGGGAAGTCAAAGTGTGAGTTATATTGAGAAATATATAAGACAGCTGTACCGAATGAAATATACAAATCCCAGATCCATTTCATGCTAATTAATCTCCTATACTAGTCCTCTAAATTCTGTTGCAGGATTTCAGTGGGAAATGTCTAAATCCACCATTTAGACAGTCTAATGGGCTATTTAAATGTGTTTTGTTTTGTTTTGTTTTGTTTTGTTTTGTTTTTGGTACGGGGGATCGAACTCCGGTCCTTGAGTTTGCAAGGTAGGCAGCGGAACCACTGAGCTAAATCCCTGGCCCCTGGCTATTTAAATGTTTATAAGAAGAAAAGTTAAATTATACTAAAGTGGCATCCTAAAAATATCTTGTAGGTTTATCTCCCCAACAATCCTAGACATAAAACAAAAGATTGTATTCTCAATCTATATTTTATTCCAGTTTCCAAAATACTCTGCAGAAGAAGGGAAATGAATGATGCCCTCAACCATAACTTCCAGAGACTTAATATTAAGACTTAAAAAAAAAAAGCTAATAATCTATAAATGCTTAAAGTGAAAGGAAAAATAATAAGCTCTAGAAGTAAATTGGTTAGTAAAACAGATTTGTTAGATGCCAATTTCCACTTGGTATCATCTACAGGTACAGTTTTCTCTGCTCCAGTCTCGCGGTTAACGGTGAGGTCGATCTAAAAGAGATTCCCGTTACTGAATGCGTCCGCAGGGCGGGGGCAGCTGGTCTACCTTTCCGAAGCATGAAGACAGGAAGACGGCGGCGGGCAGGAGCTAGAGAGGCCTCCCTCGGCGGCATCCTCAAGGTGAGGGTAGCTCCTGGTGCAGTCCACTGGGCTGCTGGGTACACGCAGGATTCACATTAAAACAGAAAAAGCATCACAGGTCAAATAAACGGCATCTCCTACCCACTCTCTGGCTGCTCAGTGACATTTGCAAGAAAATGAAAGCATTAGGCATCTGAAGGCTGAGTGCTCTGCTTTGAAATCGACCGGAAATGGACAAGAACTCTCCCAACCACAAACAGGAAACTGCTTGAGACCGATTTCACTTCCCATTTCCTCCACTGGCCCCCAGAAACTGTTTGTCTCAGGTCACTTTTCTGCAGAGCCAAACTCCTTAATCCAAAGGTTTGGTTATTTGTGCTGTCGATCCACTCGGAGTGGAAATGGGCTCCTCATCCCGGTGTAATTCCACCCCGGAAGTGGCGACTACAGAAAGCAAAATATTAAAGGCCAAGAAACGTACTCGGGCTGGGTTGAAAATACACCTCTGAATTCTTAAGACTAATACACAGATTTCTCATCCTACTGGTGGTTTCTACAAATTCTCAATTGTTTTATTCCTAAACTGCGGTTTTTCTCCTCCGGAGCTGTCTCCCCAGAGCCAGGGAAGGAACAGGGGTCTGCAAAGGGCTTGCACCTGCTCTGCCCGGCACCAGCTGCTGCTCTCTGGTACCCAGCGTGGTCAGTTCCGACTGAGCTGTGCTGTACGTGCAGAATACACGGCACATTTTTAAGACTTGGCGTGGAAACAAGAACGTGGAATATCTCCTTTTTCGTGGTCCTGGGGGCTGAACTGAGAGCCTTTGCACTGAGCTACATCCTCAGCCCTTATTATTTCTTTTATTTCAAAATACGATCTCTCTAAATCACTGAATTGCCCAGGGTGAGCTTGAATGTGAGATCCTCCTGCCTCAGCCTCCCAGAGTGCTGGAATGACAGGCGTTCGCCACTACATGCAGCTGGGACATAACCTGTTTTGGGTAGAAACCCACTGCCGCACACAGCAGGGCCGCCAAGGGCCTGCCTGATGCCATCCTGAGCCTTGAGAAAGCAGAAGGAATTGGGTAGAAGAACCAAGAATGTCCAAGATCAGCAGATCAGGGCCGGGCAAGCTCTCCTGAGCTCCATAACCTCCAGCACTTTGAGAAATTAATAGTCCAGCCCACCCCCTACTGTGACCTGTCACAGCTGCAACCCTGGACAAAGGCCACTACCCATTAAAATGTCTAACATCCAGGCTAGGTGTGGTTATGCACACCCGGGATCCCAGCACTGGGGAGGCTGAGTTCGAGGATTACTGGTGTGCACCTCCTAGCCCGGCTCCATAACTGATTTCTAAGCCTCTGGACCAGGACAGGTGAGCCCTGACACACACGGCGACTCACCTGGGGCAGGGGGACCACTCTCTGTCTGAACTGGGGTACGAAGCTGACTGCGGGTACAGTGAGACTGAGGGGGGGTTTTCCTTAGGGTTTTCATCTTGGAATGGTGGTGCATCGTCAGGAAGCGCTCTAGAGAGATCAAAACATAGAAAGTCAAAAAATTCTCAGGCTCTTGACATCTTTTAAACAGGCACGTTTCAAGCAGTGGAGAGGGGAAAGAGATGTAAGCATAATATATGTGTGTGCGTATTTGTGCTTTGGCTGAATTATAAATTTTAAAAGATTATGTTGAGCAGAGCATGGTGGTCCACACCTGCAATCCCAGTACTGAGGAGGCTGAGTCAAGAAGATCACTGCAAGTTTGAGTCCAGCCTGGGCTACATAGTGAGTTCAAGACTGGCCTGAACTACATAGCGAGACCCTGCCTCCAAAAAAAAGAGAGAGAGAGAGAGAGCTTTTGTTGAAACATCCGGACTCATGCACGGGCGAGAAGATGGTAGCACACCACCGAGGCTGTTTGCTGCCTTTCCTATTTCGCAGCACAGAGTCCTGAGAGGTGGCACTGTCCCTCTAGGCCTGGGTGGCGGAACCAGTCACATGCAGCTGGAGCCAGGTCGCTGCGGCCACTCAGGTGTGTGCTGTCTGGCAAGGAAAACAAGTAACTCCAAGCCAATGTGGCTGTGGTTACAAAGTGACCGCAGGGCTGGCCAGCCTGGGTAAATCACGCAACACAACCGCTCCTCCAGCCTCAGCCGGGCCTCCATCTGCGCTGTGGATGAACCCAGGGTGCCTGTCCTGGCTCTGGGACACCAGGCCTGGTGAGGGACCTCACCCCAATCCACAGCAAGGAACAGCAGCACTGCCAATCCGCCCCAGTATTAGCCAGAAAAAATTATATATATTCGATTCTGAGTAACGAACCCAAGGGACACTCCCAACATGGCTTTCATCGATTCTTTGTTACCAGGATATAAAAAATAATTATCAAAAAGTACGCTGAAGGGTGCCAGTGATTTAGCTCAGTGGTGCCACTGCCTACCTCGAAAGTACAAGGTGCTGAGTTTGATCCCCAGTACCAAAAAAAAAAGGTACACTGAATGACATGGAATTTGGAAACAGCAAATGATCTTTCAAAATGAGTTTTGTTCAAAACTGCCACTTTTCACCAAAACAGTACCACACACAAGTAGAATTTCCTGACACAGTTAGAAGCAAATAAAATGGGGGGGGGGGCAAAAATTATCTATTAAATTTTTTTTTTGGTACCAGCAGTCAAAGTCAGAACCCTTGCGCTTGCCAGGCAGGCAAAAAACCACTGAACTACATCCCCAGCCCTATTCATTAAATTCTGGGCCTGATACCAATGAAAAAGGAAAAAGGTTGTAGATGTGACTGTGTGCTCCAGTCATTTTTGTTTTTATTTCTTCAAACAGTCTTGATATGTAGTCCTGGCATTGAACTTGCAGCGATCCTCCTGCCTCAGCCTCCCAAGTACTGGAATTACAAGCACACACCACTAAGTCTGGCTATCTTTTCACTGAATTCACACTGAGCTATATCCCCAGTCTATTTTATTTTATTTTATTTTACTTCATCTCATACACAGTGTCATTTAGTGAGTAAGCTGCCCAGGTTGGGCTTGACCTGCCTCAGACTCCCAGAGTTCTGGGACTGCAGTAGTGTACGCCCACCACACCCGATTTCCCTTCCTGTTTCTCAATTCTGTCCTAGAGAGCTGAAGTTTCCAACCCAGGAGGCATGACATTCCCAACTGTCTTAGTTACGAACTGCATCTTTCTCTCTCTCTACAACCAGACCCATCTGATTCCAAAATTGAGGCTAATGAAAGAATAAGAAATTCTGTGCAGGAAAAACAGAGCTTGTAAAACTCATCTTGGAGGCCAGGTACAGTGGCGCACACACTTGGGAGGCTGAAGCAGGAGGACTGCAAATTCGAGGCCAGGCTGGGCCACACAGCGAGACGCTTAATGGTTGGTTACCTGCTGTTGTCGGGCAGCCCCGAGTCCTCGTCAGAGCTCATCTCCATTGGAAACATGTCCTCGTCCTCGGACGTGTTGGTGGCATCATCTCTTTTCAGGCTGTCCAGCTGGGACTTCCGCCTCCGCTTCCTCCTCTTCTTCACTAACAAGCTGCTGGACAGGGCCTCACTGGGGGGCAGGACTGGGGCGGGGGCACTGGGGTCCAGGCCCCTGATTCTGTCCACCGAGTTCCTCTTCAGCTGGCACTCCATGCGTGAGGCACCCTCCGACAGGATGGGGGACGTGGCCAGATACATGGGGATCACTTCCTGCAGGGCACAGTGGGGACAGGGCTGGGGAGTGAGGCCTGGGCCTCCCTCAGGGACAGGGGGTCACAGCCACGGGGACCTGGAGACCTGGCTGCCCCACCCCAGACAATCAGAAAGTCACTCGTCACCAATGACAGGAAGAAAGCAGAGCGAGCTGTGTATCTGTGATTTCAGGCCAAACAAACTCGGAGCAATGTACTGAGTGAAGGGCAAATACTGGGTTTCAGCCAGCACCGCTCTCTGGGAAGTGGACTCGATCTTACATTTCCAAGTGTGAGGGTGTGGCGAGGGAAGACAAATACAGAATGTGTATTTCTTTCTTTTTTTTGTTACGGGGATCGAACTTGGGACCTTGCGCTTTTGAGGCAGGCAGCAGCACCACTGGGCTAAATCCCTGGCCCCAGAATGAGTATTTTTAATATGTACTGAATTAAGTAAGGTAATACAATTTTTTTTAAATAACAAACCACTAGGGCCAGGGATTTAGCTCAGTGGTTCTGCTGCTTGCTTCGCAAGCACAAGGACCCAACTTCGATCCCTGGTACCAAAAAATAAAAAATAAAAAATAAAATAAAATAACAAACCACTAGCTGACAGCTGTCCCCACAGTGCCCACCTACACAGTATCTAGGTGTGCAGCTGCGAGCAGTGAGACCCTGACCTCCTTCCTTAGAAACAAAAAAGTCTGGGGCTGGGGATTTGGCTCAGTGCCACTGCCACCTGCCTCATAAGCACAAGGTCCTGAGTTTGATCTCTGGTACCAAAAACAAAAGAAACAAAAAGTCCCAGCACTCAGGAAGCTGAGGCAGGAGGCCTCATTCAAGGCCTAACTGGGCTACACAGTGAGCTCAAGGCCAGCTTGAACTACAGTGAGACCCTGTCCCAAACACGAGAGAGAATGAATCTACACCTTGGAATAAAAAATAAATATATAAAACCATTGATTTACACACTTAAAATGGGTCAATTGAATACAGTGAGCTCAAGGCCAGCCTAGACTACACAGTGAGACACTATCTCAAAAAACCACAAAAACAAAAATAAGTAAACGAACAGAAAGTAATGGAAAAGAAAAGGGATTCAGTCATTCACTAAGGAAAACTCAGATCCTCTGGCAGGTGACCTCCGACGGTGGGTAACCTCGCTTTGGACGCTGGCCGGGCCAGGGTGGGGCGCGGGCGTAACCCGGAACTAAATCGGGCCGGGTCGCCAGCTGCGATCTCCCCGCTGCCCAGGTCACACGGCGGGCGCAGCAGGGTCCCCAGACCCCACGTCAAAGACCTCGACCCCCACGGCCGTCCTCACCTGATCGTTATCCGCCTCTTGCACAAAAAACGCTTCTCCGTTGTCCCCCAATTTCATGTGCAAGTCCACGGATTCCCCATTGATTTCTATGTCAACCTAAAGGGGGGACAGCAATGAGCAGCCGCGGCCACCGCAGGACAGTGAGAGGGCGAAGGCGCCTCTGACAACAGACAGCCCCACGGCATGCGCATGCGCCCCAGCCTCTAACCCGAGGGGCCGAGCCCTTCGGGGCTGACGCTGCTGCACGGAGCCCGAGCCGGGATGGATGTGCTCCCCAGGTACCAGGCCCAGCTTCCCCTTTTCCAGCTGAGAGGCTGAGCTGGGACAAGGGGGTGACTGGCCCGGGGCTGCAGAGCCAGAGAATGCAGAGGTGAAGTTCAAACTGCAATCCACAGCCTGGGCTTCAGCCTGGACACGATGGAACTTCAGCCTACGTGGACTGGGACCCCAGAAATACCCTTAGCCCAGAGCCTGTGCCTCCACTTCACAGGACACACCAAGCTTCATTCGGCTCCGCACCCGGTAGGGGTCCGAATATTTAGTCTCTTTTGAGACAGGGTCTCCCTTATGTAGTTCAGGCTGGCCTCAAACTCACAACTATCCTCCTGCCTCAGCCTCCCAAGTGCTGGGATTACAGGCATGCGCCAAGCAACAGTCACTTTCTAATGGTTTCTCTCCACTTGGGTGGCAGACAGACTTTTCCAAGACGCTGTGTCCTCATCCACCTTAGTCGCCGGGTCTGGCACCCTGTGACTCTGGCCCTTCCCCAAAGTCACAATGACCATGAAAGGGAGACGTTCTGAATCCACTCAGGACATCGAGGCAGCCAGGACAGCGCAGCTAAAGACCCTCAGGAAAGAGGGCTCCAGAGCTGCTGCAGGAAGGGGCAAGGACGATGGGATGAGTGTGCTCAGAGGGAGGGGAGGATTTGGGGGGGATTTGTGCCAATGCACCCTTCACTGTAATAAACTTTTTGAGTGTAAATCTTCCCATATTTTTCAGCCTTGTGATTCCCTCATGCCCGCTCTCCCTGCACACCTGTCCTCAGGAGACGCCACCACGGAAGCCCAGGTCACACAGAGGGGCCACATGGGAGCCTGGCCAGAGCTCCAGCTGAGAGCTGCATCAGCCTCATCACGGAGGGGACCAGCTCAGCGACTCCAGCGGACAGTGGAGCGGAGTGGAGGAGCCACCCCAGCTCTCGATCCCTGAGCCCAGGGTCCCTGGACTCAGAGCGCCGGTGAGCCCCTGCCTAACTGACCGGTCACCGTCAAGCTGGGGAGCAGCAGCGTCCAAGGACCCGGGACAGGACAGCCACACGGCAGTCCCCCCACACCAGGCCTTACCACTTTCTCCCGGGAACGCAGGACACCCATCTTCCCGAATCGGACATGGAACGGGGAGCACTGGAGGGTCCCATTGGGCTGGCGGATGACAATGATGTCGATGCACCCGGACAGGGTGGCGGGGTTCAGTCCCTTGTAGAGCTCCTTGACTGTCACAAACACCTGGCCAGCCAGCTGCCCCACGTAGTTCATGGTCTGAGCCTGGGAGGGACACAGAAACACCAGAACCATGGACTTGGGACGGCCACCCGGAGACAGTCACGAGGAACTCCTGCCAAGTTCAAACATTAGGTTATGAAGCTGGGTGTGGTGATGCACGTCTGTCATCCTAGCACTCTGAGAGGCTGAGGCAGGAGGATCCCAAGTTCAAGCCAAATCTTGGCAACTTAGGAACTCAGCAAGACCCTATCTCAAAATTTTAAAAGTAATAAATAAAAATAGCTGGGGATAGAAGCTCAGTACAAAAGCCTTGAGCTCAACCCCACCACACCTGGCCTAAACACATGTAGAGGTTTCAGTCCATAATCGGCTGGCTCCAAGGCAGGGTGGCACATGGCAAAGGGGCAACAGTTCATGGCACCAGAAGACAGCAAAAAGCAACAAGGGATCCTTAACAGTATCTTACTGACCCTTTTATCCTAACCAACTTAGGGTGGGCAGCACTCACACCCTTAATCCCAGTGCCCTTGAGCCTAGTGTTGCACTGTGAATCGATTCCAGCATCACACACTCTAAATGCAGCCACCTCTGAAACCGCCCCATCTATGACTGCATGAGGCTTTCCGGGGACATCTCGACACAAGCCATAATAACACATGTTTTCTAAGTCTGCAAGCTCACAGGTTTAACGAACCTGGGGCAAGAGGGAGGAGGCCTGGTTCCTATAAAGATGATACAATGTATTCTAAAGGTGATACAATGTATCCTAATGGTGATACATTGTTCCTATGGTCTACCACAGAATAGGATGTTGTTGGGACAATGTATCATTAAAATTATACATTGTAACCCTGGTGCTTCTCACAGTGCGTAGTTGTATAACAGCAACCTTAAATCACTGTACCTTAGGAACCATGCTGGTCACTGCATGACCAGGTCACTCCCAAGCCACAGGGCCCCCAACCCAGGGCGATACTGCTGAGAAATGCCGCTGACGAATTTAACCTGCACACTGTGAAAGAAAGCCGAGGGGGAGGTGGAAGAGGAGGTTTACTTTATGACATCTCCACAGTGAGCCTGATGACCCACAAGGTGCAATTCCAGCACTAAACGGTCCCACATGAAGGCCAGCTCCTTCAGGCGAGCAACCCTAGAGGCATCGTTAATCAGTGAAACTAAATTGTAGCTCTGCCCTGCTGTTCTCCTTGCTTCATAGGGAGCAGCAATTCAAGGTGACCCCGAGGTGCCAGGGCTCTGAGCTGGAGGATTCTCTGTTTTAAGGAAATACAAAATATACCCAGAGACTGAAGTCACTTAGAGCTTCCAGCATGGCAGAAGGGGCCAAGCTCAGATTCCTTAGGTGATGTCCCCTGTGGCTGCCACTGCATTAGACTAGAGAATTTTCCTATTGCACAATTTTTTTGAGACAGAGTCTCATTATGTCATTCAGGGTGGCCTCCGATCCTCGTGCCTCAGCATCCCAAGTGCTGGGCTTACAGGCAAGCACCACCACTCCCAGTGAAAGGAGAATTTTCATACACAAACCATGAGGCCAGCACGCTAAGCCAGTCAAAGGCAGGTGCTTCAGGACTCTGTCATCTGAGCCTCCTGGAGGAGGCAAACAGAGTGACAGGAGAGAGCCATGCTGGTGACCAGGGGCTGGGAGAACTGAGAAACCAGGGCTTAGTACTTGACCGGCATGCCAATGTGGACGCACTTAATGCCACCAAATGGTGCGCTGAATGGTAAAGATAATGCATTTTAGGATAGGTGCCTCTTACCTCAATTAGCTTTTTTTTTTTTTTTTTTTTTTTGGTACCAGAGATCAAACTTGGGTCCTTGCACTAGCAAAGCAGGCAGAACCACTGAGCTAAATTCCCAGCCCACCTCAATTAATTCTTAAAGAAAGAGGGAAGGGAGAATACTATATTAACCAGAACCAAGTCAGGAAGATAGCTTAAAATATTACTTGGAAAGCCCATCCCATCGTGGTGGTGCCTTTAACCCCAGCACTCAGGAAGCTGAGGCAGGAGGATCACCATGAGTTTGAGGCCAGCCTGGGATACAAAGTAAGTTTAAGACCAGATTGAACTGCATAGCAAGATCCTGTCTCAAAAATAATTTTTAAAAAAGAAAGAATTTTTTAAAACATGACTTAACACTCTCCCTCAGCTCTCTTTCCAGGCTCCCTTTGTAATAAACGCTGGGCAAATATTTAGAGATCACAGCATAAACCACATTGATTCCCAAACCTCACTTCCTTCAGCTGCCTTTGAAGTTTAAGACTGAAGGAAGAAACCAACTTATCAGAAGATCCAAAGCAGACAAGACCAGCTGGATCCTGCCTCTGTCCACCAGATCTCTCCTCAGAGCTGCTGCTAGCTCCCCAGCCCCGGGAGGAGACACTGATCAGGATCGGGCGGGGGAATAGTTGTTCTGACCAAGGAAAGTGTTTTATAACCTCAAGGTAACTGAAGATAAGTAAAGCAAAGAAGCAAACAAAACAAAACACTTACATTTCCAGTGGAACACCTTAAGACACCTTCTCATTCACCCCACCCACCTTTTTTTGTGGGGGGTTTTTTTTGGTTTTTTTGAAAAGGGGGTCTTGCTCTGTAGCCCAGCTGGCCTCCTACTAGAAGTGATCCTCCTGCTTCAGCCTCCTGACTGCTGAGATGAAAGGCGTGTGTCACCATGCCCCGCAAAGTTACTTTTCAATCTATTGATTTCCATCTCAAAATGTGACAAGAAATGGCTGCTTCACATGACAGGACTCGATTTCCTTGAGAGAGGATTCCACAATCCCTAGCTGTAAGGTTTTTGAGGGAGGACTCAGTGAAGGGGATATGATAAACTATGCTGTGTGTCTTCTGAGGAACTCTGAGGTTACTAACACATAAACATATATTTTTCTTCTCTTTCTTTTTCCAGCACTGGGAATTGATCCCATGACCTTCTCACTGAGCTGCATCCACAGCCCTTTTTATTTTCTATTTTGAGACACCATTTTATACTAAACTGCTAAACAGGCTGGGCTGGAACTTGCAATCCTCCTGCCTCAGCCTCCCAGAGTGCTGGGATCCCAGGCGTGTGGCACCATGCTGGGCTCATGCTTGTATCCCTAAATGTGGCATCTTCAGTTTGACCTTCCGAGACAATGTGAGCTTTCTGAGGTTATGCAGTCTTTCCAGTGAATTCTCCCTGGTGAAAGCAGGTGGCTGAGGGAGCACTGGGGGCCCATGGAGGACCGAGTGCAGGGCTGGAAATGCTGGAAGTCATCACCACGATCTCAGGCTGCTCCGGAAAGGGCAGCACTGTGGACAGGGTCAGGACGAAGTGACATGGGCCCTGTGACTCCTCGCCGGCTGTGCATTAGGAAACTTTACTCCAAAGTTGGCCAAACCCACCCCCAGGCTTTTAAACTGCCAAGAAATGTTTTCAGGAATCTTAAACAAGATCACCAGGCCTCAGACTGGGCATGGTGGCACACACCTACAATCCTAGCACTCAGGAGGCTGAGGCGGGAGGATCACCACAAGTTCGAGGGTCTCACTAAGTCACTGAGTTTCCCAGACTTTGCTTGAAGTTGAGATCCTCCTGCTTCAGCTTCCCAGAGTACCTAACAACAGTTTTTAATAATCTCAAAGAGCTGGGGGTGAGGGAGGTGGAAAATTCCAACACGCTCAGCTCAGTCTCCCTATCCTTGAACCAATGGACAGAAAGGGACACTGGGGCCGCCTGCTGTCACCAGAGAATCACATGGGTGACCGCTGGCTTCTCCAAAGCCAAGGCTGCAATGGGTGGATATCATATGCCACATGACAAGTGTCCCAGGGTTCCTGCCAAGGAACACAAAGGGCCTGGACAGCGGGCGTAAGGACACTGAAGACGAAGCTTGGCCCGACTGCACAGCAAGGCACACGGAGGGGCCCATCTCACCTGAGGGTGTGCCCTCTCATGGCCAGCCCCGCCCCAGCAGGTGTGGGAGTCTCCACTGCTCTCCCACAGCCACCTGCTCATCCCGGATCAGGAGGGCCGAATGACCGGGTGCACACCCTGGGTTCCTCTTCCCAGGACCCTGCAGCCAGGGGCGGGTTACTCGCGGAAGGCACCTGCTTCACAGTTATAAAATGGGCAATTTCAATAACACCCGGCACACCGGATCGGATCGCAGGACAGGAGGGCCAGGAAAGAACTCTGCAGGGTACAAAAACCAGGGGCACACGCTATGGTCACCCTCGGACACAGACATCAGAGCCAGGCACAGTGGTGCACACCTGGGAAGGCTGAGGCAGGAGGGTCGCTGTGAGTTCAAGACTAACTTGGGCTACAGAGTGAGTTCAAGGCCAGTCTAAACTACGTAACAAGACCCTGCCTCAAAAATCACAATAAATAATGAATAAACTGGACCAGGGCTCAGAATTACCACGACCAGCAGGGCGGGGCGAAGCCTGGGATCCCAGCCCTCGGGAGGCTGAGGCAGGAGGCTCACAAGTTCAAGCCCAGCCTGGGCAACTTAGCGAGACCCTGTCTCACGATAAAAAATATAAATGGCTGGAGGTGTAGCTCAGGATGAATGCTTCCATCTCCAGTATCAAATAATAACAATCATCATCATCAAACATAATGATTCCCTGACCACCGCTGTGTTCTAATGGCCCTGCGGCACCTCAGCTCATTTTTCCACAGCCTTGTAGGTGAACGTGATTTCTTTTCTTTGCACAAACGGCAAACTGAGACTCGGCGTTAGCAGCTTCCAGTCCAAATTCCACAAGGAAAAAGCAAAGACTCAGCCTGGCTGCCTGGCCTCCAGCAGCGTCTCCTGACCTTCCCCTGCACTCCGGCCCAGCTCACTGGTGGCCATCACAGCAGATCACACACCAGGAAGTCCCCAGGTCTCGCCTGGCCCTGACCCAAGTCTGTCCCAGGCAAGCCTCAGCTGGCCCTCTTGGGTTTTTTTGAGCTGGTCTCGCTAGGTAGCCCAGGCGGGCCTCACATTCATGGTGATCCTCCTGCCTCAGCCTCCCTAGAGCTGGGATGGCAGGTGTGGGCCCGGCAGCGTGCTCCTTCCTAAAGTGAAGAGACTGCTGACTGACTGTCACCTGCCCTGGGGGTGCCTGCACAGGGTACCCAACCCGATGCCCAGCTGGCACCACTGGACCCCACCAAAGACCAGGATAAAAGCCAGAGAAACCCCCACTCGTGCACAGAAACAAGACCCTGAAACTGGCAGTAAACACAGTGTTAGCAAAACAGAACCAAGAACCAAACCCGATCTTTCCACACGGGGCAGGTGGAAAGAAAGGGCGGGTGCAGCAGATTATGTAGGCTTTGGTTTTTTCTCCTACTGGGGATGGAACGAACCCAGGGCCTTGGCACTGAGCCACAGCCCTGGCCCTTCTTCAGGACAGGGTCTCTCTACATTGCCCAGGCTGGGCTCAGACTCACCCTGCTCAGGGGTTGCAGGCGCGCCCACTGTATTCCTGTCTCTGTACAGTCCTCACCTGCCTGAGTCCACTCACAAAACCCAGATTAGGGACCGAAGGATGAAGAGTGAATTGCACAATCTTCACAACCACACCATCGCTGATTAAAAGACAAAAACAAAATGGTTACTACAAGCTCATCTTCCCCAAAACGTCTCTATGACCCTGGGGGAAATGGCTGGTTTTAAAAACTCTGCAGGCTAGGTGTGGTGGAGCACGCCTGTCATCCCAGCACTCAGGAGGCTGAGGCAGGAGGATCACTGTGAGTTCAGTCTGTGCTACATAGTGAGTTCAAGGCCAGCCTGAACTCCATAATGAGACTGTCTCCAAAAAACAAAAAACAAAAGAAAAAATTTTTAAACAAAAAAATTACTATCAAAACATCATTTCCCAGCCAGGCCTGGTGGCACAATCCTTTAATCCCAGTACTCTGGGAGGCTGAGGCAGGAGGATTTAAAGTTCAACCCAGCTTGGGCAATTTAGTGAGACCCTGTTTCAAAATTTAAAATTTTTCAAGGGCTAGGGCTGCAGCTCAGTGCAAAGACCCTGGGTTCAAACTGACCCCAAGACAAAACAATACCGCCCATTCTCACCCTGGGTCTCTCGCCCAACAAACCCTGGGCGGCCGGGAAGGAGTCCAGGGCCTGGCCCGCACAGCAGTGATCTCTCACCAGAACCAGCCCAGTCCCTGCCCGCCGCCTGGCCAGACCGTGCGACTTGGGCGCGGGTGGTCCTGCCCGGGCCTCGGTTTCCCGCAATGCTCCGGAAGGGTTCACCCCCTCCCATCCCGCCCGCTCGGCCAGGCCGGGCCCGCGCGATCCAGGGCCCAGGGAGCCCCGGCGACTTGGGCCCGCGACCGGACAGGCTCAGAACACAGTGGGTCTCGCCCGGACGCCCCACGGGGACACTTACCTTCCGAGTCGCGCGTGACCGCCTTTGTATGCAAACAACCTGCCTGGGCCTACGGTCCGCGTCGCGCGGCCCCGGCAGGGGAGTGGGCGGGGAGTGGGCGGGTCCGAGGCCTGCGGGGCGGCGCCAGGGGGGCTCGCAAGCGCGGGCGATGCGGCTGCTTTCAGTGCCCGGCAGCCTTGATTGCAGGGCCTTTGACCTTGAAGCAATGCCTGCCTCAGCTTCCCGGGCTGGGGGCTCTCAGGCCGTGTTTCTGCTTCCCCGCCAGAGCCAGGGTCCTGCATTTCAGCAGACTGGACGGATCGAAAACTGTGGCGGATGTCTAACTTTTATAAATTTATTACATTAAAAGACTCATTGCCATGAATCCTCCTCAAACCCCCCCTCCTCGCTTTGAGCGCACTCAACCCTCCTGGTTGTCACTTTTTTGTGTGTGGGGGAAGAGGGTGTTGAGACAAAGTCTTTCTATGGAGCCCAGGCTGGCCTCAAACTTCAAACTCTTAGTGATCCTCCTGCCTCAGCCTCCAGAGTGCTGGGATTACCGGTCTGCATTCCACCACCACCACCACCCCCAGCTCTTCTTTTCACTTCCTGCAGCAGCTCTGGAGTCCTCTGTCCTGAGGGTCTTTAGCTGCCCTGTCCTGGCTGCCTCCACATCCTGAATGGATTCAAAACATCTCCCTTTCATGGTCACTGTGACTTTGGGGAAGAGCGGGAAGTCACACGGTGCCCGATCTGGTGACTAAGGTGGATGAGGACACAGCGTCGTGTGTTTATGAGCTGCCAGTCTGTGGGATGGCGCTCCGCAGCAGCAGTCACTGTATTTGTGATCACACCTGGTACAGACCTCAGGATAGAGGACTCCAGAGCTGCTGCAGGAAGCGGTGAGGACGATGGGAAGAGTGTGTGCAAAGCCAGGGGAGGATTTTGAACGGGACTCGCGGCAGTGTGTCTTTTACTGATCTTACCTTGTTTCAGATTTAAACATTCACCATGTATTTGGGTCACTGTCATGTACCAGCAATCCTGGGGGTGGAGTGGGGTACAGAACAGGGTAAGGGGCAGCCTGGTAGCCACAGCCTGGCCATGCACACCCTGACCTTCCTGGCCCTGCCTTTCTTTCCCCTCAGTTACTACTGCCGACCACTTTGTGATGGACTCATTCACTCCACCTCAGTCCCCACAACCTGATGACCAAGGAGCCACCCTGTGACCCCCCCCTAGCTCACAGCCTCCAGGACCCCAGGATCAGAGGGCATCTTGTGTGAAGAGACCCTACCTGACCAGAAAACTGCAGGTCAACCAGAGATGGGGAGGAGCAGTGCACCCCTCCTCGAAGCCCAAACAGCAAGTGCAAAGGTCCTGAGGCCAGCAAGGATGCCAGCGGCAAATACTGAGGGTCTCATGGCACCCCAAGAAAGCACCCCAAAGCAAGGTGCTGGGTCTTATGTAGATGTTATCCCAAGAAATGCAGCAGGCCTAAGGACTGTGCACCTCCATGGGCCACAGGAGTGGACACTGGAGACACCATGCAGAGGCTGCTGCCCACACCCTAAAGGGTGAGTGCTCCCTGCCAAGGGAGAGGCCAGGAATTTGGGGCCAAATGCAGGGGCTGGAAGGTCAGTGGCAGGGCAGGTGGGGCCAGCTGGTCGGGAGTGGCACTCTGACAGCTCCAGCAGACCCTGGGCTTCTCTCCTTCACCAGATGGCAGAGGTTGTGATGCCCCATGGAAGCCCTCCCGTCCCTGTACAGATTTGTAGGTCTTGTTTCAGGACGCACTGAGAGAGAGAAGGAAGGAAGGGAGAAGAGAAAGGAGAGACAGAGAGAGAGAGAGAGAGAGAGAGAGAGAGAAGGGAGGAGAAGGAGGAAGGAAGTGCTAGCAAACTGTTAGTGCCTAGGCCAGCACGGGCTACAGTAATCGCCTGTGGAAGGAAGGAAGATGGGAGGGAGGGAGAAGGAGAGAGAGAGAGAGGAAGGAAACTTTCAACTATCCCAGTTACTCAAATATGAAGACTTGGAGGAGTCTAAAAGCTTTTGAAGCAAGAAAAGGAAAGGAAAGTAATCAAAGCTTCCAGCGCTGCGGCACAAAGCCCCGCGGGGGGCTGGGCTGGCTCTCCAGCAGAGGGCAGACACCGTGGCCGGCCGGCCGTCGGGGAGCTCCCGGGAGGCCCCGCCTGCCTGCCCTCGCCACCTGCCGGGTGACCCGGTGACTCAGCAGGCTGAGGTGATTCCCTGGGCCAATCCCTGACCGAAGAGCGCAGCCCACTGGAAGAGAGGGAGCCTCAGAGGAGGAAGGAGGGCCCCCAGCTGGTCCAGGTGCTGGGCTTCCGTGCCCAGGAAACAGGGTCCACTTTGAGGTTGAGGCGGCCCCTGGTACCTAACACCCCCGCAAAGTGCCACCCTGGCTTTTAAACCCTAAAATCCAGTACATCGTGCAGGGAATGGGGGTGCACATCTGTGATCCCAGCACTCCAGAGGCTGAGGCAGGAGGATCACTGCAACTTTCAGGCCACCCTGGGCTACAGAGTGAGTTCAAGGCCTCCACATGGCCCAGGACAGCAGGTGAGAACCCCACTGCCATGACAGGGCTATCTGCTGTCCTGCTCCACCGGGCTGAGTCCCAGCAGGAACAGAATCACCTCCATCCCCTGTGTCAGTCCCTGAGTCACCACGACCTCGGTAAACAGGTGTGGGGCTCTGTCACGAGAGGCAAATCTCACATTCTCAGCAGTGCCAGCCACACAGAGGGAGAGTGAGCAGAACTGGGAGCTTCAACTGAGAGCCAGGTAGTGACTGAGGAGTGGTGGCACACACCTGTGATCCCAGCACTCTGGGAGGCTGAGGCAGGAGGGTGGCCAGGAGTTCAAAACCAGCCTGGGCAATCTAGCAATTTAGCAAGACCCTGTCTCAAAATAAAAAATAAAAAGAGGAGTGCAGCTCAGTGCAAAGGCCCTGTATTCAATCCCCAGTATTGTGAACACAACAAAATAAAACAAAACCCCAAAAAGCAAAACACTCAGAGAGGCCAGCAACAGTAGTGGTCACTTAGTCAGTTTGCAAACACCAGCCAGCATGGCGCACCTTCATGCAGCAGTTCCTGCTACCCGCCCATCTTACAGGAGAAAATAGCATCACACTGGGCGATCTTTCTCAAGTTTGAATTCTTTTGGTTTGGGGGGTTTTGCTTTTCATTTTTGATTAGTTTGGTTTGGCTTTGGATTTTGGAGACAAGCTCTTGCCATGTAGCCCAGGCCTGGCTGGAGCTTGCAGTCCTCCTGCCTCAGCCTCCCAAGCACTAGGATCGTGGGCATTCAGCACCACATCTAGCCTGAGTTCCAGTTCTGCATGGTGAGCTGGGCCAGATGTGGTGTGGTGGCGCGCGCAAAGGTGTCCCAGCACTCTGGAGCCTGAGGCAGGAGGATCACCAAGAGTTCAAGGGCAACCTGGGCTACACAGAGACCCTGTCTCAAAAATTTTAGAAAAATAAATTAATTAAAAAGAAAGAGGAAAGAGGCGGGGGGATTTAGCTCAGTGGTTCCACCGCCTGCCTCACAAGCAGAAGGACCCGAGTTCGATCCCCGGTACAAAAAAAAGAAAGAAAGAAAGAAAGAAAGAAAGAAAGAAAGAAAGAAAGAAAGAAAGAAA